ATAGTAGTAATGTGATGTTCCTGTGTAGATGCCAACACACTTATCAACACTCTGCACAAAGAGAAAGTTTCAGACAGTGCACGCATCAGAACACACCGCCGAGTTTCAAGGTCAAGCCCGCTGCTGCACGTGCATGTACTTGAAATAGACACTGACTTAAATGAGTGAGTGAGTTTAGTTTTACGCCGCTTTTAGCAATATTCAAGCAATATCACGGCGGGGGACACCAGAAATGGGCTTCAGACACTGTACCCATGTGAGGAATCGAACCCGGGTCTTCAGCGTGACGAACGAACGCTTTAACCACTAGGCTACCCCACCGCCCTCGACTTAAATGAAATAAACGATTTCTGATCTAACAGTTTACGTGTTATAGTACACAAAGGGTGGGTGCTATTAAGCGTGACGGTCTACATGTACTGTATAGAACTCCAACACTCTCTGATCGATTGACAATAAAACCAACGATCAACAGATCCTTGCTCGTATCTATGTTTCCCCACGTAAATGCATGTCGAGAGGGGAATGTTTTAACACGGTCTTCTTGACAAACATGTAAATCCCACGCGAATTACATGTCAAGTTAGTGCATGTTTTACCGCTCTGCACTATAATATCGCGTTGTAACAGTGGTTGTAGTCGTAGTAGTCGTAGAAGTAGCGGTCGCAGTATAAGTGTTAGGAATAGCAGTTTCAAATTCTATCAGCTATCTGTTGTACAGCTATTCTGCCTATCAAGTGTACAAGTGATTTAATGTCGAAAGCTGATCTGTATATTTTTCACTGATCTATTAAACAAATGTCCAGTTTGTTGTGCAGCTGATCTATCCATGGTGCAGCTAATCTATCTCTTGTACAGCTAATATGTTTATTGCACAGTTGATCTATTCACGGTACAACTGATCTACCTATGATTTATCACTGAACAGCTGACCTATCTGCTGTACAGCTGGTCCATCATATTGCCCAGCTGATCCATCAGCCGTACACCTGCCCCAACTGTTGTCCAGCTGATCCATCAGCCGTACAACTGACCCAACTGTTGTCCAGCTGATCCATCAGCCGTACAACTGCTCAAACTGTTGTCCAGCTGATCCATCTGCCGTACACCTGCTCCAACTGTTGTCCAGCTGATCCATCAGCCGTACACCTGCTCCAACTGTTGTCCAGCTGATCCATCAGCCGTACACCTGCTCCAACTGTTGTCCAGCTGATCCATCAGCCGTACACCTGCTCCAACTGTTGTCCAGCTGATCCATCAGCCGTACAACTGACCCAACTGTTGTCCAGCTGATCCATCAGCCGTACACCTGCTCCAACTGTTGTCCAGCTGATCCATCAGCCGTACACCTGCTCCAACTGTTGTCCAGCTGATCCATCAGCCGTACAACTGACCCAACTGTTGTCCAGCTGATCCATCAGCCGTACACCTGCTCCAACTGTTGTCCAGCTGATCCATCTGCCGTACACCTGATCCAACTGTTGCCCTGCTGACCCATCTTCCGTACACCTTCTCCAACTGTTATCCAGCTGATCCATCTGCCGTACAACCGACCCAACTGTTGCCCACTTGATGCATCTATCATTCAGCTGTTTTTCGGTAGTGAAATTGATCTGAATCCTGCATAGTTGATCCATTGGTTGAGCAACTGTCCCTGTAGACCCTGGCACGTACGTCCTTCACCGTCACTAGCACGCAACGTCGAAAACGAGAGGGTAAGCTCCTGTGAGATCCGCTACGATAGCAACCAGATTATCTCCTCGATAACAACCCTACACAGCCCCTGGGGGAGGGGAGGGGGGCCCAATGTGGGGCACAGGTCACCATTGTTGTGACTCGTATCCACAACACTTCCCTAACACCTGTGCGTGACGTCACAGACCCTCAGTCTGCTACAAAGTTGATGAGGGACAGTTGAGATCACCCGTGGCGCAGATCGTGGGGCTGCATACTGCACACATGATCACTTTGTTGTTTAAAGCCGTTTAGCAATGTTCCACCCGAACGACAGAGGTCTATAAGCTGTCAAGTCTGGACCAGACAATCCAGTGACTGACATCATGACTGACTGACTGAGTTTGGTTTTACGCCGCTTTTAGGAATATTCCAGCAACATCACGGCGGCTGACATCATGAACATCTATGTACGTGATGTATTGCATTCACCAAGCCAGCAAACCTGATCACACGATCCCGTTAGTCTCCCCTCACAGTTTGTGGCGGGAAAAGGGGACAGGGACGAGGGTAAGAATGTGTGTGTGTACGTGCGTACATGTGCGTGCGTGTGTGTAACGTACTGTGTACACACAGTATATATTGTTCGTGGAGTGTTGATATATACCTACGCACACTCCACACACACACATGCACGTATACACAGTGCACATTGTTCCTGGAGAGGGGGTGGGGGGTGGGGGGGTAAAAGAAAAGGACAGAGGGGGGAGAGAAAAAGATGGGTGGTGGTGGTGAGTTAGTTGTTAAGACTACACTTTGTCAGGAGAGAGAAAGAGAGAGGGAGAGCGTCTGTAGGGATGGGGCCTGATTCTGTTGAATAAAGACAGTGTGTGTGTGTGTGTGTGTGTGCTGTTTGAAAGGGGTCGGGTTTGCGGAGGTTGCTGCTGAAGGGGTTGTGGGGTTCGTTTTGCTTCGTATGGATTCTCCTTACACCGACTTCCGGTTCCGTTCTGTCGCCTGTCCACCATGTCACCGTCTTCGGTGATCGTAAAAACCCACAACTCAAACTCAAACTTGTGGATATGGGCCCAGGATTGTATTAATAGTATGGGATACCTACCCTTAATGGGTGTAGTGAGTAATTACACACAATTTAAACATTGTTCATTTTACTAATTTTAATATATCATCCTGGTTTGTGAGGAAGGTAGTGTTCCTCCTGACCTCAAACAAAACATAACCCAGTGTCAGTGACATTGTGAGCCATAAACACACAGGGGCATTGTAAAAACATAGGACATAGATTGTATTATTTTGATAATATTTGAACTGTCGAGTATCCGTGAAGATATTTTGGGTGCAGTTTTTCTTTTCTTAAGGAGGAGGTACTTGCCAAGTTAGCGTGCAAGTGTTTAGTGAATGTAATTTATCCGCTTTACTTTCGAATATATTTTTAGTGAACAACCCCAAACTAATCTTAATAACTCTTCATTAAATGTTTAATGAATAAGAATAAATATATAAGTTAAAAGTTTAATTAAAACAATTTTAAACAACTAAACAAGTTGCTGAGTGGGCCCTTGGAGACGGAATGTTGGGAGTGCTTTGTCCAAAGAGGTCTTAGATTATATTCTACTAACTTCAATATTACTCGTGCGACATGCACGGCAATCTACGCCCTCCGTTGCTCCATTCACATTGACCTTGCCACATATTTTAGGCGTTTTAAGAGCTTTCCTGGCCCACAAACAAAACACTCACAATACCCCAGTGTTATGCACAGATAAGTATGATATCATATATCACTTGTCTGCTTGGATGTGTATATTCAGTCTATCGAGACGTAACGGTATTGGTTGGCATACAGGTAAAACGTGACATAATCAATTAAATAGCTAACGTTTTCTGTCGTAAACAACTTCTTTGTCCTTGAATATAATTAATGTTTGTTGCAGTCGGAGTTTAAATGCTAGTTTATGTACTATTGAAGGCTAGAGTCTTTGAACGGCGTTTAGACGTGATACACATAAAGGGGAGAATATATGGATGTCAGCTGTATTTTGTCGGACACCACGTTTCGTAGTATATTCTTACTCATTTCTTCTTAAAATGTCCAAAATTTGTCAGTTGCCGTTTTGATCTGAAGAAAGACTTTGAACTATCAAAAAGTTCAATTAGACATTGATACCATTCTTTACGGCAACCCTGCTCTGCCAAATACTATCAATGAAAATATCTTTAGACATGTGCATAAATACATTGTACGAAGTAAGCGCTTCAATTAACCAATAATATGTCTCAATATTATTATGTCCATCCATTACGTCCAATCTTTATTGTTCATTATTGTTCATGTTTCTGATGGGAGCGGGCGGTAATAAGTTACATAACTTGTGCCCAATCCATTTCAACACTGAATAAAATATGTTCAAACAAACTCATCCAATTACCCGATGAAGGAGCAAGGATATACTCCGAAACATCGTGTCCCAAAAAAGTAAAGAAGTTGACATCCATAAATTCTCGCCTTTATTTGAGTCTGTACAAATTAAGTATCAAGGCAGCTACTAGGGTTTGTTTATGCACAGTTCATGATGACAAAGCGTCTGTAACAGCGGTGTACGCTGCCCGGATGCTATTATTCATCAATAGTTGATTGTTTGACCGGTATTCTAGGAGTTGGTAGATAAGGAAGCATGCAACATCATGGATACTAACGTCTTGTTTATTGCATAGCTTCGACTCGATGTGAATATTTACACTGTTGTCGAGCTAAAAGCACCGAGACTATACCATAAACGTAAAGTTGTTAGCCGTTAAGTTGCATGCTTTGTAGTAAATAGTTGTCTTGTGTTACACCGCCCGTTCCTGCCTCTCACTATAACTCAACTCACCTCACCTCACCTCACCTCACCTCACCTCACCTCACCCGACCCAACCCACCCCTGAAGATCCGGGTTAGAATCGGTCTTCAGCAACCCATGCTTGTCGTGAGAGGCGACTAACGGGATCGGATGGTCAGACTCGCTGACTTGGTTGACACATGACATCCCAATTACGTAGATCGATGCTCATAATGTTGAGCACTGGATTGTCTGGTCTAGGCTCAGTTATATACAGACCGGCACCATATAGCTGGAACAGTGCTGAGTGCAACAACAGCCAAACCAAACCAAACCCAACTCAACCCGCTCGCTGGCGCACCTACTCACTCACTCACTACTTCACTCACTACCTCACTCACTCACTCACTACTTCACTCACTACCTCACTCGCTCATTACCTCACTCACTACCTCATACACTCACTCACATACTTGTGTCACATGACTTGTGTACTTTCTTTATTCGGTCAACTCGTGTCCCAGAAGTACATTAGTCCACGTTGTGAGACTCGCGTTACAGATAAGAACGAAATATTGTCGCAAGTCCGGGGGACATTTCGCAACACGGAAAACTACCAAGGATAACGCCACGGACAGCAGCTTGTGACTGTCAGCTTGAGGACAAGGTCTTATCTAGCCTCGGTCGGCTTCTACAAACATCTCCATTGAAAGGCCCAGTAATACTGTAACATCAGGCGGTAGACGATGGGGCTCTTGGTTTTCTGTGTCAGGAAGGTAGAAACCCCTATTTGAAAATCAAATATGAAACTTAAACTTAATGGGTGTTGCTGGGATAGTCATTTGAAGCAAGTCAGCGTTATAGTTGCTTGAGTCGAGGACACTACCGAGGACACACACCTGTTACTGATGTCGAATATTCAGTTCAGGTAGCAAGATACGGTTGAATGGGGACCACCTTTCTGCGCAATCACAGACTCAATTCACAAAAGCTATCGGTAAACATGGGCCGGGGTGCGAGCGGAGCGGTGAGTTGGTCGTCTGCTTGGGTTGGCATTTGTCGTAGGGGTCACAGATGAGTGCGTGCGTGCGTGCGTTAGTGTCGGAAGGGCGTGGGATGGATGGGGATTAAGGGCCTTCTAAGATTACATAAATATGTTATGGACAAATACTATAGTGTTTAGAGCCCCGAGACGGTCGTAATTACTATAGGCCTACTTCAGTCGGGTTTACACCGATGTCTCGGTAATATTTCCTTGTGAGTGTATGGTTGCATCATATTCACGACTGACAAAGTGAACAGTTTATAAATTGAACACACGATAAACGGTAGTAACCCCGATGAACTGGTATTTGTACATATGTGTCACTTATTGATGAATTTGGCAAAGTGCTGAAATGGTGTGAAGTTGTTTTGAATGCGTGAATTCATGTGACGGAAGTGCATTGGGTAAACTATGCTTTGAATGAGCTGACGACAAGGGTTTGCTAGCATGTGATGAATGCACGTGGTTGGATTACATAGGGTGAAGGAGTTGAATGAGGAGAAATATTCATTAACGGGTGGGAGCTGGTTGGTTTGTTGTTTGATGCCACACTCAGCAATATTCCAGCTATATGGCGGCGGTCTGTAAATAATCGAGTCTGGACCAGACAATCCAGTGATCAGCATCATGAACATCGATCTACGCACGTGGGATACGATGACAGGTGTCAACCAAGTCAGAACGGGTGGAAGAGGTGACTAAGGTCTTTTAGTCAGTCAGTGAAGGAGTGTGGTTTTAGACCGCATTTAGCAATATTCCAGCAATATTCCATCCATATCACTTTGGGAGACCCCAGAAATGGGCTTCAAACATTGATTAGCGACCGTTCATAACTTATCGCTAGTGGGTAATGATGATTTTGAAGGGGGCATTTTGTTCTGGGAGCTACGGAGGAGTCAGCAATTTTGTACATAAAGTTATGTTTAAAATTATGCTTAGAAATTATGGGAAGGGGATGGGGGGTCATTGATTTTGTATATGACATGCAGGGGGGTCACATATTTTGTACATAAATTTTAGGGGGTGGGCATTCACATTGTACGTGCTTCTCCATAAAAATCATCATCAGCCCCCCTAGCCATAAATTAGGAACGGTCCCTTAACAAGGTTCCTTTAGGGAAGGGGAAGATGTCTGTATGTGGAACGGGGAGAAAGCTTGGAAGACGGACTGGCGGGTTATTCAGTGCAATGTCTATCCCAGTAAAATTGTGTAGGCCTGCTCTTACCATTCGATAACACGGACAACAGCTTTGGTGATAGATCACTGTGTAGCTGTCGCCCAGTTAGATAATCCCACTCCACGCATACGCTGTCAACCATAGTGGAAACAGCTGTCGTAGCTTGAGAGTAGCAGATCTACCTGAAACTAGCATCTGCAGTTGCTGAAATAAATAATGATTAATATATAAATACAAGTCCACAATGGAACCTTTGAATATTCAAGAATTTCCAGTTCTGCTAATTTCAGAGCTGAGAGTAAATACTGAAAATGAAGGGGTGAGAACGGGATGCGGTCGTCCTTAGAGTACGCCTGGTGTCTGTTTGTCAGACAAGGACAGAATGCCAACAGCTAGCTGGTTCCGTCTGACACGTGGGTTAGCTGTAGACAATATCGATTATATGCAGTTAAAACAGCAGTCACTGCATGCGTCACAGTTAAGTCCATATGAAAGGACATTAGTCGTTACATCAACAATTGCTCACGGCATCTATGCATCTTTGGTGGCCCTGAAACAATGACTGCTGATGACGCAGCTGTCTTCTCTGTGACGATTATGTCACGATAGAAAAGACGCACACCATATATACTACACATTATATACGCACAACGAACCATCCGGAAAACACACTGTACATAGTAATTAAATACATTATACATACTATATTCACAAAGCAAAATACACCCCCCATCCCACCTCTCTCTCTCTCTCTCTCTCTCTCTCTCTCTCTCTCTCTCTCTCTCTCTCTCTCTCTCTCTCTCTCTCTGCCGTAATATAACACTGTACGCCGTGATATAACACTACACTTACTGCCTGACAGTATACGCCGTGATATAACACTACATGCTGTAATATAACACTGTATGCCAAGATATAACGCTACATGCTGTAATATAACACTATACACCGTTATATAACACTGTATGCCGTAATATAACACTGTACGCCGTGATATAACACTACACGTACTGGTCTGACAGTATACACCGTGATATAACGCTACATGCTGTAATATAACACTGTACGCCATGATATAACACTGCTGTAATATGCTGTAATGTAACACTGTATGCCGTGATATAACACTACACGTTCTGGTCTGACACTATACGCCGTGATATAACGCTACATGCTGTAATATAACACTGTACGCCATGATATAACACTACATGCTGTAATGTAACACTGTACGCCGTGATATAACACTACACGTTCTGGTCTCATATTATACGCCGTGATATAACACTACATGCTATAATATAACATTGTAAGTCGTAATATAACGTGATTTAGCACTACATGCTGTAATGTAACACTACACGTCATGATCTGACACTATACGCCGTGATATAACACTACACGTACGGGTCTGATACTATACGCCGTGATATAACACTACATGCTGTAATGTAACACTATACGCCGTGATATAACACTACACGTACTGGTCTATCACTACACGTCCTGATCTAACATTGTACGCGTACGATTTAGCACTGCATGCTGTAATGTAACACTGTACGCCGTGATATAACACTACACGTTCTGGTCTATCACTATACGTCCTGATCTGACACTACACGCCGTGATATAACACTACACTGTACTGGTCTATAACTAGTACCTGCTGTAATATAACATTGTACGCCGTGATATAACACTACATGCTGTAATATAACATTGTAAGTCGTAATATAACAGTACATGCTATACCACTACACGTCATGATCTGACACTATACGCGTGATTTAGCACTGCGTGCTGTAATGTAACACTGTACGCCGTGATATAACACTACACGTCCTGGTCTATCACTACACGTCCTGATCTGACACTATACGCCGTGATATAACACTACATGCTGTAATGTAACACTGTACGCCGTGATATAACACTACATGCTGTAATATAACACTGTACGCCATGATATAACACTACATGTTGTAATATAACACTGTACGCCGTGATATAACAGTACATGCTGTAATATAACATTGTACGCCGTGATATAACACTACATGCTGTAATATAACATTGTAAGTCGTAATATAACAGTACATGCTATAACACTACACGTCATGATCTGACACTATACGCGTGATTTAGCACTGCATGCTGTAATGTAACACTGTACGCCGTGGTATAACACTACATGCTGTAATGTAACACTTTTGGCCGTGATATAACACTGCATGCTTTAATGTAACACTATACGCCATGATATAACTCTACATGCTGTAATGTAACACTGTACGCCGTGATATAACACTACACACTCTCTCTCTCTCTCTACACGTACGGGTCTGACACTACACGTCCTGATCTGACGCTATACGCCGTGATATAACACTACACGTACTGGTCTATCACTACACGTCCTGATCTGACACTATACGCCGTGATATAACACTACACGTACGGGTCTGACACTACACGTCCTGATCTGACGCTATACGCCGTGATATAACACTACACGTACGGGTCTATCACTACACGTCCTGATCTGACGCTATACGCCGTGATATAACACTACACGTACGGGTCTATCACTACACGTCCTGATCTGACACTATACGCCGTGATATAACACTACACGTACGGGTCTATCACTACACGTCCTGATCTGACGCTATACGCCGTGATATAACACTACACGTACTGGTCTATCACTACACGTCCTGATCTGACACTATATGCCGTGATATAACACTACACGTACGGGTCTGACACTACACGTCCTGATCTGACGCTATACGCCGTGATATAACACTACACGACCTGGTCTATCACTACACGTCCTGATCTGACGCTGTACGCCTTGATATAACACTACACGTACTGATCTGACGCTATACGCCGTGATATAACACTACATGCTGTAATGTAACACTATACGCTGTAATGTAACACTATACGCCGTGATATAACACTACACGACCTGGTCTATCGATACACGTCCTGATCTGACGCTATACGCCGTGATATAACACTACATGCTGTAATGTAACACTATACGCCGTGATATAACACTACACGTACTGGTCTATCACTACACGTCCTGGTCTATCACTACACGTCCTGGTCTATCACTACACGTCCTGGTCTAGTCTATCACTTCACGTCTTGGTCTAGTCTATCACTACACGACCTGGTCTATCACTACACGTCGGGATGCCCGCGTTAATGTAACACTAGAGGCAATGTCGGCACTGTATTGGTGATATAACATGCTCGACGTACGGGATGCTGTCGGACAGTTGGTAATGTCAGCCTCCATCATACATCACCGACTACTGATACTTTATGCAAATACACAGACTCATGGAACAATGCCAATATATACAGTTCCACAAGCTGGTATTGTGATATCATCGATTAGGTTCTCGTCCTGTTTGATCTGAATATTTGTTTGAGGTGTAATGTTTCAGAATTTGTTTAACGGTTGAAATGTTGTCTGTGACTTATTGGGACTCGCATGACCACGAGAATTAATCTGGCAAAACTTGCTATGCAGAGTTGTGCCCCTTAGCAGCAGCGTCGTCAAGTGGTCATGTGTTTTAATCCAGATTCGTCCTGGTAACTTCGCTGACGCGCTACTGGGCTTCCCAGGAATAGTAAACGTCTGCAACCTGGTCCATGACGTCGTGATACACCTGACATTCCTAAAACACCTGAACTATCTGATACACCTGGAATTACCGACACACCTGACATACCTCATACATCTGTAATACCGGGTACATTTTGAATACCCGATACACCTGAAATACCTAGTGCACCTGGAATACCCGATACATCTGGAATACCTGATACACCTGAAATACCCGATACACCTGAAATACCTGATACACCTGGAATACCTGATACACCTGGAATACCTGATACACCTGTAATACCTGATACACCAGACATACACAAAACGATACGATGTCGTTTTCTTACTGGTCACCAGAAAAAAAGTTTGACGGAAGCTGGTCGTCGAAATTCGGCTTATCTACGGTAATATACTACCGAAATGAAATGCCAAATACACCTGAAAGTGATCGTGGTCAATGTTTTCACGGAATTGATCACTTTGTGAGATTGAGTATTATGTAATATGAACAAGCGTTGTGTGTGGTGTGGTGTGGCGTGGCGTGGCGTGGCGTGGCGTGGCGTGGCGTGGCGTGGCGTGGCGTGGCGTGGTGTAGTTTAGTGTACAGTAGTTAGAGACCTGTGATTTGTAGTGTGGGCCAGTGTAATGTTCACCAGTGATATGTACAGTGTAGATTTCTGTAGTATACGTGTGTAGTCCCGTGAGGTCTTGTGTAGGTTAGTGTAAGCTAGTATGGTACAGACTTGTGTAGTGTTGTGTAGTTGTGTAGTGTTGTGGTGTAGCGTAGTGCAGGGTAGTGTAATGTAGATGTCATTAAAATCATGTCTTAGGTCTCTCTTCCACTAGTCCGGATTAGAATTGGTCTTCAGTAACCCATGCTTGTCTTAAAAGGCGACTAACGTAATTTGGAGGTCAGGCTCGCTGACTTGGTTGACACATCGTACCCCTGTTGCGTAGATCGAAGCTCATAATGTTGATCACTGGATTATCTGTCTCAGACTCGATTATTTACAGAACGCCGCAATGTGGCTGGAATATTGCTGAGTGTGGCGTTCAACAAACAAACAAAAAACAAAAATCTGAGGACATCCAGGTGGATGAGAGACCCTTGAACGACCAATGAAATAACAGCTGCCGTGGACATGCTATACTTTTGTCGAACTATTTCTTACGTATAATCCAGGTAACACCGCCGATATTGACACAGTCAGGGAAGTGATGAACGTTTACAGAGTGAAATGTTGAACGTTGTGAGTAACACCGGTGTTTTTCTGCGTTGTTTTCAGACGAAGGTAGGTAGTTTTCCCAACAGCACTCTCTGTGTTAGTACACAGGCTATTTATATGTCCCACGAGCTGTGTGAACCCTTTAACGCCACTATGACGGACTGGATCGTATAGCCCCGAAGTGTCGCTCGGAATACCTCGTGTTACACCTTTCCAGGGTGCATCAGAAACACATTCCAACTGATCCACCTTCCTGATCTAGTGGCGATTGGTTGGACAAATGGCCGTTGTTACGTGACCCATAGTGGGATGTCCTCAGATATTTGTTTAGCTGTTCTGTG